ATAGACAGAATGAAATATTCGCCCTTTAATTATTATTATCTTTGCTGGCTGGCTGACCCCTTCCTCAGAATTCAAACTCGTAAGTAATGAAATGAAAAAAAGCATGGGTGATCGCGATTCCATGTACCATTCCGGTGATCATCATGCGTTCGTAAGAATTTGTAAATTCAAGATCATGCATGCCCTTGGCCAAATCCTTTCTTCGAATAGTCAAAATTTCGGAACGAAATATTCTCACAAGTAAAGAACCGTTCCGAACAAGCTCCAAGAACGGATGTAATTGATGTGTACCTCGGGTTGTATCACCATGTGCTATAGTGTGATTAATGCATGGCAGGTGTGTAAAAGCTTTTGGACAATGTAATCTGTCACGGTACCTAGGAACGGGCACTTCACATCCAATCCTTTTTAGGTAACCCGCAGGATAAACGTTTAAAATTTAAGGATAGCCTTCAACCTGGGAAGATGTAGGTAGTATGGTGTGTAATGAATTGGCTTATCCATAGAAGCATTTGCTACACCCTTTTGCACTTGGTGTTTACCGATAAACACTGTATGTAATAAAGAAAAATTAAGGTCAGTGTGTTTGCGATAGATTCACGACCATATTTCCGTCTATTAATCATCACCTCCCACAACGCTCATACTATTATCAGAGGGATGATGCGATACTTGCAGTACTCGGCAGATAAAATGTCGATGAACATCGAAAAGTTCTACGTGTGCTTGTTAAAAAAATGACTTATTGGTCTTTACGTTCACATGACACTTCCGACACACAAGTACTCGTGAAAAAAAATTGGTTCAAATAAAGTCTGTGTTTGTTTCATGGTTCTGAAATGACAACATTGAATCATTTTTCCAACTCCCAGGTCACATTAACAACTGAACGGAAGAATGAGTCTTTGAAATTTGACCTACAAGGTGACTCTTCACGATTGAGGTCCAATACTTCTGTCGCATCCTACACCCTAGAGAGAAGAAAACTTTTCACCTATCGCACTTCTACTGAAATTTATTAAAACATATCGCGAG